ATGAGCTGAGCAGCTTTTGCTCCATCAGGTCCCTCTGCCACGCCTTGGAGCCAGCTGACTATGGACTAAAAACGTAAGCCAGAATAAACCTCTCCTCCTTCAAATTGTAGGTGTCAAGTATTCACTCCAAGCAACAAGAGACAGGAGGATCACTATGATGGTGGTAGTCATGGGCATCAGTGTGGTATTTGTGGTTGCTATGGTGCATCACTATGATCCTCCTGTTACTTTCTTAACAAGAAAGCAACTAAGATAGTGGTAGTGATAACTCTGTTCCCTCTAAGTTATCATAGAAAGAGTTAATCTTGTTTGACATGGTTTTTGTGTATTTTTATGTGTGGGGTGTTTGAAAATTAATAATACCTTTGAGTTACACATACCTTCAAGAATCCACTGACACCTACTGGTGCCTTCCCAGGAAAATGAACACAGACAAGTTTTGCTCAGCTTTGGAGCGAAGCGACCTGCCCTCTGACTGGGGCTTCTGTGAGAAGCCTCTGTTGTGCTTCCTCACATCCCACAAGCAACACTGGAGAGCATGTGTGCGTGACCTTCTGTGCCAGCACAGAGCTGAGTTGCATGACAGCCGAGTGACTCTTCACAGTACAACTGGTGAAGAAAGAGCTTTTATTAGGGCATAAATACTTTGAGATACTCCTAATCTGATTGCATGTGGTTTAGATGCACTCAGAGAAGACAGAAGAGAAATAAACATCACCACCATACCAAAGGTAGAAGTACTGGAAATTTCATCTCACCTTGTCTGCCTCACCAGGGGGTGGGTGGCCTCTTCTGGCCACCCACATGGTACAAGTTCCACCACTCCAGACATGAGTGGAGTTCTGTGGGCATTGCACTGAAAGGTTGTCATCACCAGGCTGGCTTTTTCTTCCTGAGAAATGACCATAATACCTTGACATTCAGGAGAGATGACCCCCAGATCTGTCACACAGCTGGGTCTTGCCCTGTATCTGCTGAGCCTCACGGCACCTCCCACCTGGCCACATAAGAGGCCACCTCAGGGGTCATCATCCCACCTGATCCCCACACACCTGGGCTGCGGTCCTCAATTCCACTGGAAATGTCAAAAATGTCTATGCCAAAGCCTTAAGGTACTCCATGTTTGTTGTGCAAAAAGACAAAAATACAAGTGTTTGACTGATGGAGACCACTGTGAAGCAGCTCTGAGCAGGATTTAAAATTAACTAATTTGCTTTCCATGTTTACTTGTGAGTTGTCCGATACCTAGGCCCCTTGTCTAGAGGTGGGCAGTGGATTTGTAGTTTAAGTGAACCGCTATGAATCTCTGGTCTCAGCTGAGGCCTATAATGGCCTGTGAAGCCATGATGCTTCAAAGAACAAGGCCACAGCTAGGGGTGCTTAGATCCAACCCCAATTAACCAAAAGGAGGCTACAGTAGCAGGCTCCATCCTCCTAAAAAAATGTCCCCCCCAAAAAAAGTCCTACAGCCAACATTTTGGCCCTAGCCTTTGAAGGTCAGTGAAGAATCAGGACAGAGGAGATCCTGTACTGTAACATCATGTAACTCAGTTGTGTCCCAAATTCTCTGATCAAAGATATCATGGGACCACAAAGGAGGGTGGTCGATGATGTGGAGTGTGCCTAGGAAGGGTTGCATGGAGAGAAGGCATCTCTCGGGCTTTCGCAGAGAGCAGATTGTCAGGCAGTGGCCATGGCTCATCCACATGGCTGGCACTGAAAAAAGATCTGCAGACTGCAGTGCAGAGTTTCAGGGTAAGTCCTGAGGGGATTTGACTGACCTTGTCAGTCAAGAAAGTTACATTTCTTGTTGTGTAGATCTTGCTTTGTCTTGGTCTTAACCATCCAGCAGAAGAGTATAAAGGCGAAGTATAGAGAGTACAACAGTTCAGTTCAACAGCTTCTGGCATTGCCAGTCTTGTGGAGAAACCACTACTATTGTGGACTTCGGGACTATGCTGGAATATTTTGCTGAGTTCACACACCTATAATATTTAAATGACAGTGGAATGCCCTTCTCCGACAAAGCTGAACAAAAAAAGGGGATACAAAAGAACGACCATTTTGTATCTGTATATTCAGAGTGGTTGGGCTAGATATACAGCTACATTCTCTTAGTTCAGTGAATGGAAAGATTTGTTCTAATAGTGTTTGTGGACGGGATGTCATGTCTGCATCTTGTACAATGAATGGCTGCTAAGACAACAATGTACAATGTATTGATTGTTGAAACTATCCTACTAATGGTTTTGAAACTGTCTCATTGCTATTTGTTTCTCAATAAAATTATTCTGTTAGAGTTTTGAATCTCCTGGAGCCCCAAAATCATATCACTTGACTCTTATTTAAGCCTTTGCCATCTACTCATGGGAGAAATTTTGGTTCTAATCAGTCCACAATCACTAAGGGATATTATTAACCCAATATTCAACAACCCAAGAACCCTGTAAGGTAACTGGGAATAATCAGGAAGTGTCATATTAAACACAAAACCTATAGCTTGACACCAGAACCATGACACAGTCTGACTCATTGTACAGTTACCCACAATGGATTGTGCAGTGATTTCATTCATCTGAATTGTCCCTGAAGAAAATTGAGTGCTCCAGAGGTGAGAATCATTCACCTGTCAACTCCTCGAGCAATCTGGGAGTTCTTCACGTTTCCAAGCACAAAACTAAGAATGGCACCAGGTTGATGCCTGGAATAGCCTCATGGGATATCATGAGCATGAGGGACCACAGAAGGCTCTTTATATGGGCCCAGGCCTTCCTCCATTCTGCAAATTGACCAGCATGCACCAACAGCCCAAATACAGAAAGCTCTTCACCTACAGCACATATGTGCCTTCACAGCTCCCATTGGTCTTCCCAGCATCAAAGGTCTGAGCTGCCTGTGTTCCTTTCATCCAAGATTCTTTTCATCACCTGTTTATACATCCCTTCCCTAGCAAGAGCCCAGGGTGGCACTCAGAGGTCCTCAGATCCTGTGTCACAACCCCTCAGTACCTAGTCACCAGAATGAACAACTCTCCACAGTCTCCACTTACCCATTCCCTTTGTTTCCTGAGGACCATTGACATCTGATTCCAGGTTCCTGGCCCTGCTGGTGAGTGGCCATGCTCTACCTCTGCAGCTCCCTGACACACAGCCTTTTTCCTCCCTTGTCAGGCCCACAGGTCTCTCCTAGGTCACCCTGGCCTATCCATCCCTGGGATCCTGTAGCACTGTGGGGGAGCCCTGCAACATCATCTGACACAAAGGAAGATGGGAAGTGTTAGGGGCCAAGTCCTCCACAGACACCCAATCTGGTCCTCAGAGCCAGGACCTGCATAAAGACCAGTCTTTGCTGAGTTCCCAGATGTCTGGGGACAGGCAGGCCTCTGTCACCTGCAGGAGGTGGCAGCTATCTCTTCAGGTCCTGTAGAGAAAGCCCCACATCGCTGGGGAGGTGGGGGAGGCAGACATATCCCCAGGCAATGACCAACAAGCCCACCACCCTTACACTGAATCCCAGAGCCACCACACCTGCAGAGAACCATACACACCATTTCCTCAGGCCACCCCAATGAAATCCTCAGCAACTGGCCCCCCACTTGATCCCAAAGACAATATGTGCTCCAACCAGGACACTGTCTTCTACCTGCTTGGAAATGGCCACCTTGCAGTTTCTCAGCCACTACCCTACAACCACTTGTGCTGACCAAGTCCCCTAGAAGTGGGTGCCTCCATGGGATTAAACCAGAGATTTACCTGAGCAGTACTGTGAGGACAGAGGATGTGGCCAAGGACACCCCACCTCAGACTGCAGGTGAGGGGGTAGGAGGGGCTAGTGGAGGAACTGCAATGTCCCTAGACTGTCCTGGCCAGGACCATGGGGACGCCTGGCACCAAAGTAACACTTGAAAGGAAAGCCTGCATTCACCCAGAGCTGTCAAGGGAGACAGGCTGAGCTCAAGACAGACAGCGGGGCGCTGCCCTCAGCTGCCATGCAGCTGCTCCACTCAGGCACACTCATACATGGAAGTTCCCACACTCATACACAGCACACCCTCGAGAGACACAGCCATTCTCACACTCAACACCCACATCCCTAAGGGCCCTGACTCCTAGGAAGGCCACTGGGGCAGAGGACAGTGCCACATGGTGCTGTGCTGATATTTCCCCTCACACTGAGAAACACAGACATCTCTCAGAGCCCACCCTCAGCCACTTTAGTGTCCAGCCAGGAGAGGGGACACCAGGGAGGAGTTGGCCAGGCCTTACCAGGTGGTTGCAGGAAGGACAGGGACCAGGGTACCCCACCCACAGCAGGGCCACTTTTTGATACCACAAGCACTGCTGCTCGCCTGAGGGCCACAGTGTGAAACAGAGGGCCGAACCAGAGATCAGCCCTCTGCTGGGGTGACCGTGGCCTCTTGGCAGGCTCCTGAGTGGATGAGCCAGCTAGTCACTTCTGATTCCGTAGGGTACACAATAGGTCCAGCCTTGTGAGTTCTTGCAGCAGAGTGTTGTCTGGGGGCCTCAACCCCAGTAAGGCTCTGGCAGCCGGCCTCCCAGCCAACCCCATCTACTTCAGAGGCTGGGCCCTCAACACGAGGACTCCAGGACGCACTGCTGCTCTCCTGAGGGCCACAGCATGATGTGGGGCACCAGAGCCAACGTTAAGGGTCGGTCGGGGCCACCCGCGGGACACAGCCTCACCCTAGCCAGCGAGGGAGGGGCACAGCTGGAGGTAGGGAATGGAAGGCGCGGGTTTTTTTTTTTTGTGTGTGTGTGTGGTGTGTGTGTGTGGGGGGGGGGGGGGGGGGTTGGGGGGCGGACAAGGCCAGGACCTCGGGTTCTGCAGGACAGTGATGGTACTGGCCTCGCTGGGCTTCTGTCCCCCTCACCCCAGGCCCCTCAGCTCCGCGGCCCCTCAGCGCCCCCCGCTGGCCGCCGCCGGACGGATTGGCCGAAGGGTCGGCCCCCTTCCCTTCTCCTCCCCGCGCGTCCCTCCCCTCCGCCTTCCCCGCCCTCTCGGCCTCCCGCCGCCTCCCTCCTGCCCACTTTGCGCCCCGCGGCTCGGCCGGCAGGACCGGAGACCCTCAGCCAGGTGAGTGCTGCCGTCGGTACCAGGGTGACCATGTAGTGTAGCAGGGGGGTCGAGGGGATGGGGGGAGGGGGGCTGTGATGAAATGGTCGCAAAGTAAGCCAAAGGGACTGGGTTGCTGGAACTGTCCAGGCGGCCGTGTCCCCACTTTGGACCACCACCCTAGCTGCCGCTGGGGTCTCCTGCCCACGCCCCACTCGTGGCTGTCCCCGCTCACTGCCTCGCTGTCCCCTCAATCTTTGGGCAAGACGATCTGGTGGGGCTCTCAGTGCCCCACTTCCCAGCTCCTGGCTAAGTCCTGGGACCAAGACTCCCGGTCTCTTCAGGCCCAGAGTCCAAGGTCTGGAATCTCTGGCCTACAGGACCTGGCAGGGGACTTGGGAGAACATCCCAATTTGGACCCCAGCATGGGTGCAGCATTCCTAGGGTTACTCCTCCTGCTAGGAGGAGAGATGCTCTGGGCAGCAGAGGAAAATGGGGCCTTTGGTGTCCTGAGGAGACAGGGTAGGTCTCAGCAGCTACCTCACCAAGGACAGTCCAGCTGCCCCCTCAGACCCTGCCCTGGATGGTGCCTATATGACTGAGGGACCTTACAGAGGAGGGAGCTCCGGGAACAGCATGCCACCCCACACCCACCTTGGGACTCCAGAAGGCTGCAGCAGAGCCTGAGGACCCAGCACACCAGGTGGGGAGGCTTTGGCCACATTTCTGCCGCTGCCTTCATTCACACTGGGGAGCCATGGGGTCACCATGGATCAGGGCAACCTGGGCTCACTGGAGGCATGGAGCCCATGCCCAAGAAAACCAGATACCCTGAAAGGAGACCTGAGAGCCACCAATTTCTGTTGTTTTTCTTCCAATCGAGTAGCTTTGGCTTGGCAGCTAGATCACATTTAACCCCCAAAAGCATTTCGGTTTATGTACTGCCTTAGTTCACTGAGCCCAGGTGGCAAGGCCAGCACCTATGAGGGGGTGAGGGGGGAGTCCTAGGCCAGACTAAAGGGATCCCACCTGTGGGAACAGGACGCAGAAGTCTTGGGGCCAATGAGCTAGCTGCTCAGACACTGCCCCCTCTGCTGGTGAGGGTGGCATGGGTGGGGTCCTTGAAGAGCTCTAAATAAGTGGAAAGGGCAGCATCCCAGCAGAGCCAGGCTCAGCCCTAGGGCTGTTCATCAGAGCCCCAGGCAGCACCTGTCTACACTGCTGGAGACAGTTTCTCCAGCAAGCACAGGGGAATTCCCGTCTCTCAGGGCCTCCAGATGCAACTCTCAGGGTCCAGGACAGAGAACAGGCCAGAGTCACAAAGGGCTGGAGATCTGCACAGGCCTCTGATTCTGAGAACAGAGCAGGCCAGAGAACATCTGTACTCCTTGCCCAGCAGGCTGTTGGGGTCCCCAGATCTGTTAGACAATGCTCACAGCCACAAATCTCATGTTTTAAAAGCTGGGGGAAACAGCTCTTGTGATTATTCAGGGAAAACACAGAAGGTTGGACCCTTCCTTTCCCCACAGCCCGGAACTCTGGTGAGTCAGCCCTGCTCCGCCCTCTCACACATTCAGGCCAAGTCAGGGACCTCCATATGGGCCACTGCCCCATGGTGAACATGAGTGGGGCCTGCAGCAAAGGACATTCTCCAGGGAAAACCCAGCAGACTGGGAGCCAGGCAGGGCTGGACAAGGGGTTCCCTGCATGTGAGGGCTTCAAGCCCGTGATCAGAACCCATTAAGAAGAGCAGGATCAGACCTCTCTGCAGTGGATGGTGCTTCCATCTTTTCCAACTTGCCCACCCTCAGGGGACACTGCTGCCTGGTGTGGGTTTGTTCTGGGTGTGTTTGGTTTTATACACTGCAACATTATCTGGTCACTGACATGTGTGGCTTCACTGCGACTTGCCTGGCTATGATTTCTGCTGTATTCCTACTAGTGTTCATCTTTTTATTGTTTAGCAAGAGCTTCGCACAAACACACAATTTTTTTATCATAGTAAAATATACATAATATAAATTTTACTGTCTTATTCATGTTTAAGTGCACAGTTCAGTGGTATTAAGCATATTTTGTTGTTCTGCAACAATCACTACACCCAGAACTGTTCATTTTGTAAACCTGAAACCCACAAATCAGGACCCCCAAACCTGCCCCAGCCTGGCAGCCACCTTTCCGCTCTGTCACCATGATTGTGGCTGCCCCAGGTGATTCATGTAAGAGGAGCCATATCATGTTGTCACTTTGCCCCTGAGTCATTCTGCTCAGCATAGTGACCAGGTCCATCCATGGTGTGGCACCTGACAAAAGTGCTTCCCTCTTAGAAACAAATGGTATTCCATCAAGGGCAGTGCCCACTTCCCATTTTGCTTGCCCACTTAGCTGCTGCTGGACATGCGGGTTGCTGCCATGGTTTGGCTGTTAGGAATAGCACTGCTGTAGACATAGGCAGCAACCAAATGCCTCTTCCAGGCCCTGCTTCAGTTTGTTTCAACCTATACCCAGAAGTGAAGCAACTGAGTTATGAGTTCTACTTACAGCTCTGAGGAACCACCATCCAATCTTCCACAGCCAGCAGATATGCTGTTTTGCATCCCCACTAGTTCACTAGGTTCCCCTTACTCCAGACTCACAACACTCATACTGTGAGTACAAGGTAGTGTCTCGTGATTCTGATTTGCATTTCCCTAATGGTTGGTGATGCTGACCATCTTTTTTGTCTGCTTGTTGGCCATTTATAAGACTTTTCAGAGAAATACCTATTTAAGTCTTTTGCTTGTTTTTGAATAAGTTCATTTTTATTATTGTTGAGTTTGGGGAGTTCTTCATAGATTCTGGATGTTAGTGCTTATCAGATATGATTTACAGATATTTTATCCCATCCTCTAGAATCCCTTTTCACTCTGTTGGTAGTGTCTTTCAATGCAGAAAAATTTCAAAATTTCATGAAATCCAATTTATCAGATTTTTTTTATTTTTTTCCTTGTACCTCTGTGTCAGATCAATAAATCCTTACTAAACCCAAAGTCATGAGTTTAGAACGCCATGCTTTTTCTTAAGAGTTTTGTAGTTTTAGATTTTCTCATACTAGGTTGCATTTTGAATTTATTTTGTGTATAGTATTAAGTAAGGGTCTAATGTCATCATTTGCATGTGGATCTATAGGTTTTTAGAACCATTTGTTGAAAGACTGCCTTTACCCCAGTGAATGATCTTGGAACTCCAGTTGATTTTCAGCCATGTATGTTGGTTGGGCTAATTTGTAGGCTCTGTCCTAGAGGACCATATGTCTTGTCTTCATACTAGTACCACACTGTGCTGATTACTATACTTTTGTAGTAAGTTTTGAAATCAGGAAATATGAATCCCCTGGATTTGTTCTTCAAGATTGTTTGTGGGATCTAGGGTTCTCTAAGATTCCAAATGCATTTAAAATGTTTTTCTATTTTTGAAAAGAAATCACTGGGATTTTAATAAGAATTGCACCAAATCTTTAGGTCAATTTTGGTAATATTGCCATCTTAACAGTATTATGTCTTCCAACCCATGAATATAAAAAAAGTTATTTTATTAATGTCTTCTTTGATTTCTTTCACAAGTGTCTTGTAGTTTTCATTGTACAGGTCTTCCACCTCATAAGTTAATTTCTAAATATTTATTCTTCCAATAGACTAGTAAGATATTTTACTAATTTTGTTTTGATTTTCCATTGTTATATAGAAATATAATTTTTATGAGTTACTTAGTATCTTACCACTTTGCTGAATTTGTTTATTAGTTATATCAGTATTTGTGGAATCATTAAGGTTTTCATCATATGGGAACATATCATCAGCCAGCTGTGGTGATGCACAGCTGTAATCCCAGCACTCTGGGAGGTTGAGGCAGAAAGATCACAAGTTAGAGCCCTGTCTAGACAACCTAGTGAGACCCTATTTAAAACAAAGATTGATAGATAGATAGATAAATAGATCAATATGATAGATATGATAGATAGATAGATAGATAGATAGATAGATAGATAGATAGATAGATGAGGATATAATTCAATCAAAGATCCTGTATTCAGCCCTGAGTATCACAGAAAGCTCTGTGTTGGGGCCGGGGAGATAGCACAGTAGAATAAGCGCTTGCCTGGCAAGTATAAGGGCCTGAGTTCAATCCCCAGTTCCGCTCAAAAAAAAAAAAAAAAAAAGAAAGTAAGTTGTGTGTGTGTGTGTGTAGAGAAACATGAAACAAATCATTTTACTTCTTTCCAGTCTGAATGATTTCTGTTTCTTTTTGTGGCTTGATTACTTTGGAGAGGACTCCAGGCAACCTTGAAGGAAGTACTGAGGACATGTGTCTTTGCTTTGTTCCTGGCCTTGGAAGGGAAGCTTTTGTTGTTTGCCTTAGCAATAAGGCTCACTATTGAGTCTTCATATATGAATTTTACTATTTTGAGGTAGTTTCCTTCTTTATTTTGTTGAGTGTTATTTCAAAATCTTGGAACAGTGTTGACTTTCTCAAATGCTTGTTCTGCATCAACTGAAATGGTCATGTGGGTTTTTTAATCCTTCTGTTAATGAGGCAAATAGCATTGATTGATTTTCATATGTTGAACCATTCTTGTGTTCAGGAATCAACCTTGATTGATCATGGTCTAGAAGCCTTTTTATATGCTGCTGGATTTGATTTGTTAGCATTTTGTTGGGGATTTTTACATTCATGTTCAAAGGTTCTGGGTCTGTAGTTTTTCTCTCTTGTAGCATCTGTCTAGCTTTGGTGTGGGGCAATGCTGACCTCATAGAATGAAGAAGCAGGCAGTAGCCCTCCTTTTCATGTTTTGTGGAAAGTTTGAGAGGGGCTAATGCTAATTTTTCTTTAGAATTTTGGTAGAATTCACCAGTGAGGCTCACAGGTCAAGTGATTTTCTTTATTGAGAGAGTTTTGGTTACTGATTCATCTCTTTACTAATTATAGCTGTTAAGTTTTTCTATTTTTATATGGTTTAGTCTATATGTTTCTAGGAATTTCTC